TGTATATTTATTTATATATGCTGGGCTTTTCTCGAGACTCGAGAAGCTTCGAAAGCCTCGAATGGAAAAACCCAGGGCAAATTCGGACTGCTGCCGAGTTAAAGACAGTGAAAATTTGTTGTCTAATTTTCTGGAATAAATTCGAGCTTCTGCGAGGGGTAGTGAAAGGATTTACAAAATGGTTTTACTTTAAACAATCAACAAATATATTTACCAAAGAGAAAGAGATTAACAATAATTTCTGAGATAATGGAATATCGCGACGCTATCAAAGAATACTCAAAATTCAGACTAGATCAGCTTTACAAAGCGAGCTGTCTACGCTTCAAATTTGTCTGCCGATTCGACGAATAGCGAGTCGATCGTGCAGATAAAATTTACAACGCTTCAACAAGATCACTGCCTCGACACGACGATTAGCTAGCCGTTCGTGCAGTTCTTATCTAGTTGAATGCTGCCTCTATTGTTTAGGCCTTTAAGAGATAAAGATACTAAAAATTACAAATCCAGCGTGGAGTAGTAAATCTCTGCGGTGTTGCTGCTGCTTGGGCACATCTTTAGCCCGAAAAACGACTTTGCTGCGTTATACTGCTTGCTCGAGTATAATTGCTGTTGCGTAGGTACGTCTACTTCGCTCGAAGTCTGGACGGGGAGAGTCCCACAAGCGTGCTGCTCGAGCCAGACCTACTCGCGGCAAGCCTCATCAAATGTTTTATACAATACGCGGGAAGGGGGAACAGACACACTCGCACAAGTGTATTAAATACGCACTCCTTGCGGGAGTGTGACCCCCTACCTTTCGCACAGCAAAATCCGTGAGTTAAATTAAAGGAAAACTCGCAGCAACAGCGCAAAGACACTCGCCAGCGATACTTAAATTCATAAATGAACACTACTTCTACATTCATTTCCGCATCTAAACCTCGCTACTAACTTTCTAACCTTTGATGGCATATCCTTTTTCAAGTATTCTGGTTCAGCTTCTGTTCTTATACCTTTCTATATTCTGTTGTACCGTGAATTCTCTATCTTTTCCATTCTCTTCTCTTTTTCTTTTCTTTCCTTGTTCATAAATATTTTTTCTCTTACTTTCTCCCTAAATTCTACTCCTTTCATAAATCTTGTTTCTTTTACTTTCTCTTGCCGTAGTAATTCAGCTCTCTTTTTTGAGTCCTTTCCTATTCTCTCTCTTTCCTTGTCCTTGTCCTTTTCTCTTATGCATTCTTTTACTAATTTTATGTCTGACTCCCTAATTTTCTCTTCAAACTTTAACGCTCTCCTTACCGCTTTCATACTCATCCTTTCTAATCTACACTCCTCCTCCACTATATAATTTTGTGTATTGCTGTCTAATACTAATATCCATTTCATATATCTTCTCTGTAAACTTTCTAGTCTTTCTTCTTCTTCCCAGCCCCACACTTCCGCACCAAATAGCGCTATACTTTCTACTAGGGCTGTAAATAATTTTCTTCTTCTTTTAAAGCTATTCTTAAATATTCTTTCTCCTATGCTCCATGCATTTTTCATAGCTATCACTGCTTTCCTTTTCCTTTCTTCTATATGCCTATCGTTTCTCCCATTTTTCTGTAGTAAATATCCTAAATATCTTATTTCTTTTACTTCTTCTAATTCCTTACTCCCCCACTTCCACCTTCTATCATTCCTCTTTCTTTTTTCGAACACTAAAATTTTTGTTTTTTTCTCACTTAAAATTATCTTCTTTTCATTTATGTACTTTTTGAATCTTTTTAACATCTCTTTCAATTCTTCTTCTCTATCAGCTATTAATACTATATCATCCGCGTAAGATAGACTCCATACTTTTTTATTACCAACTCTGCATCCTCCCACCTGCCCTTTCTTTAATTCCTGCTCCAGATCCGCTAAGTGCACATTAAACAGCGTCGGGCTCAGTGGGCAGCCTTGCCTCACACCTTTCTCTGTCCAAAATTCCTTTGATTCCTCTTCTCCAACTGTAACTACATTTCTCGTTTCTTTACAAATATCCATATTCTTATTCTTAGCTTTTCACTCACTTCCATTTCTATGAATCTTTCCTTTAAAACTTTCCTATCCACTCGATCAAATGCTTCCTTTAAATCAATAAAACATGTAAATAATTTTCCTCTTTCTTTGCTTAATTTTTCATCAACAATGTGTTTCAATGTGTATATTGCTTCTATTACTACTTCTCTAAAACCAAACTGGCTTTCTGATAATTTACCTTCGATTTCCTTTTTTAACATCTCATTTAACATACTCGCATAAATCTTAAATGCTGTACATGTCAATGTAACTCCTCTATAATTTTCTAACATATCTTTATCACCTTTTTTGTGAATTAAACAAATCGTACCTTGCCTCCACTGATCCGGTAATTCTCCTTTTTCCTATACTTTTTTTTAGCAATTCCCAAAAGGCTGCATCCACTTCTCCTGGCATGTACTTCCATACTTCATTTTCCAGCTTGTCTTCTCCTAGTGCTTTTCCTACTTTTAATCTGGCTATCTGCCTCTCGAACTCTTTCTTGCTCATTTCTTCCTGATCCTCTGCGTTTGTTCTTGCCTCTTCCTTTCATATCTCTTCTCTCACAATTCCTTCTTCATTCTTCCCATCTAACTTTTTCATACAATACCTTCTCCATTCTTCTACTGTGAACTTCTTAGATATTTTTCTCCTTCGTTTTTTCCTGCACTTGTTTATATATTTCCACACTTCGTCTTTGATGTTGCATTTTTTATCTCTTCTTCTTCTAATCTTTTAAACCTTTTCCTTTTCGCCTCACACCAGTTCCTATACTCTCTTTTTTTATCTATGTAATAACTTCTATATGTTTTCTTTTTTCTCCACTTTTTCATTATTCTTCTTAAATCCTTCTTCTCCTTCCATTCTTTATCGTGCCATTTTTTATCCCCCATCTTCCACACTTTACACTGTTTTTACACCTTAGGTACTGCACTTTCTATTTGTTCTTTCAATTCACTCCATCTTTCTTCAACCTCTTTTCCCTTCCGCTCCCAGTCTTTACACCTTTTTTCAAACTGATCAATCAATTTTTGAGTCCAGTCCCTCCTTGCCTTTGTTCTCTCTTCTTTCTCTACAATTCCTACCTCTACTTTCTTTTCTAGGTATACTTCTAGCGGCATATGATCTGATTCCGTTCTTTGTCCTATCTTTATTTCCTTAATCTGATCTAACGCTTCTTGACATCCTTTTGCGTAATCTATTACCAACTCTCCTCTGCTACCAACGTATGTAAATTCTCCTTCTTCTTCTTTTTTCCCATTTACTATACACCATCCTTCTTCTGTTATTTCTTTTATTAGTCTTCTACCTTCCTCATTGATCTTTTCGTCTTTCGACTTTCTTAACCTTACGTCCTTGTCGTCACTATCACTCTCACTATCACTTTTATTAATCCAACCTCCTTCTCTCCCAGTTCTTGCATTCCAATCTCCTTGTATAAGTACACATCCACTTTCCTTCGTTTTTACTTTTTCCTTTATAATTTCCATCGTCTCTGCTACATTTTGACTATGTACTCCTATGATCATCCACTTCTGATTTCCGTGTTTGATCTCCTGCATTACTATATTATCGCTCCATACTTCATGATTTCTACTCTCCAATTTTTTGCTTATTCCTAATATTACTCCTCCTCTCGCTCTACCTTTTTTATGCTCTCTAGTCGCTGCCATACACTTCCACTCATAACTTTTTGACAACTCACTTTCTACATTAGCACTTGTCCTGTTCCAACCATGTCTCTACCAACATTATCACATCAAATTCACTTAAATACTTCCACACTTCACTGTCCTTATTAAGCACTCCCGCAATGTTCCACGCGCAAACTCTAACATTTCTTCTCACTCCCTCCTCCTCTACATCTTCTTGTTCTTCTCATTCTTGGCTCCTTCTTCTTTCCTCTGTAAAATCTCCTTTCCTTTCATCAAATCTAAGCCATTTACCATCGATCAAAATCTTCATATACCCAACTTTTGTATTTTTTCCTTTGTTCTTCTGCTCTTTTGACTTGTTTAAAATAAATCTTTGGATCTCTCTTTCTCTCTTTGTTAGATCGCTTTCTATGTAAACTCCTCTCTCCAGATGTTTTTTATTTCTCATTACTTCTTCTTTCATTTCTTTACTTGGTAGCCTCACTACCACCAACTTTCTCACATTTTGCCCAGCGTTTACACTTATCTCTTTAGCCTTCTCTATCTTGACTTTTACTTTTATCTTTTGTTCAATATATTCTTCAACCTTCTTCTCCAGATTCTCTCCTTCAGTATTTGCTCCTTTTATAACAATGTTCGGTCTCCTTTTCTCTCTCTCAGCTTTTTCTGTTTCCCATTCCAACTTGCTTATTCTTTCTTCTAACGCCTTCTTTTCTTCTGTCCACTGTTGCCTTTCTTGTTTCCACATCTGTTTTTCCTCTTTCCAATCTTCTTCTCTTCTTTCTAGACTACTAATCATGCTGTCCAACTTTTTTTCTAACCTGCTCATGTTATCGTTTAATTCTTTATTCTCCTGATTTTCTTTTGTAAAATTCAATAGAGTATGTTCCTTTAATTTTGCATTTGTATTATTTCTTGTATTCATACTTGCTGCAGGCGGCTTTCCGTCCTTTTTTGAATTTTTCTGATGATGCAGTTTTCTACTTTACCGACTTTCCACTTCTATCGGCCAGAAATTCTATTTACCAGCCTTACTCGACAAAGTAGTGATCTTCCTTATCGACCTCAATATTGCTTTTTTTAGGGTCCTTTCTCATCTACATCTCAGATTACCCCTTTTATCGACCTCTTTCTCCAATTGCCGCTTCTTTCTTCCTATAATATCTCTTCTAACCTCACTTCCTTCCGAACTTTATTGCACTTTTTCTTTTACTACCACCACATTAACACTGTTTTCCTGTCCTCTTGTCTCTCGTGTTTCTGCTCACTAATACCTTTCTTTATTATCCCCTATTCTTACTACCCACTTCTTACTTGCCTTACACGTGTTCCGTTCTCTTTACCCTGACACTACCACACTAATCTCACTTCATCCTTTCAAACTATTATAATTATTCACTTTACTCCTTTTTCTCTGCTGCTTCTTCACTTTTTACACTTCTTCGTACTTTTTATTTCTTCTATTCTTACTTTAATTACTTTTTATTACTCTTTTCTACGGAGCGTTCTCTCGACACGTCCGCCCTCTCTCGCATGCACAGCGGAACTCCCGTTTTTTTAATCATATAATTGTTTGGTATTTGTTAATTAACATTACTTTACTTTGAAAATACAAAATTTATTAGTGTTCATTCATCATTACATTCTGTTATGAAAACTAAAGACTCATTTTAGCTTTCAACAGTAGAAATTATGGGCTTGTGGTACAAAAAATATAAAATATAAATCAATGATTCGACTGCATCTAAAAAACAATCAAAAACGGCATTATTGATTGTTCCATATTGACTGGTTGATTACAACCGGTTACTAATCATACTTAGGTTAAATTTTTTTTCCATAAATTAAATTAGTGGTGCAGCAACTCCGAAAAAAAAGTTAACATTAAAATCTCTGCTTACTTCTACAGGAATCTTATTATAAAATTTTCAGGTAGTGCAGAACCCTTGTCTGTATACACTAATAGTTATTCGTGAATAAATTGAATTGTTTTGTTGATAGAATTATCAGGTGACACGTAAATAGCTACAGTAATGATCTCTTTGTGTTTTTGCACACGGCATTTACATTAACAAATTTTTCCCATTAAACTCTCACCAACATTAGCACTTGTTATATTTGAAATAATTTAATTCATATCTTTACTGACAACGTTCAAATTATCATTACCATTATGATAGATTTAAATACCACCTGCTCTTATATTTGTACGCCTAAATTGAGCTATGCAACGAAAAGCAAAATTTTAATGCGGTTGTCATTGTCTAGCCAAGTTTCTGTTAATAACAATAAATGACATTGTTTAGTAACACAATTAATTAGATCTGCTGCATTGGCTCAAATACTGACAGTTGTAAGTGCAAATAAATAAGGTCTTGTTTCTTAAAAAATCTAAAAAGAAGTTAGATGTGGTCACATGATAAACCTCTCTCACTCTTGTGAGCTTCAATGGTAGTCTGGCAGACTCCCAGGCTCCATATGGATCCACCCTTATAATTTTTCAAACGTTCTACTTAACTAAGAGTATTTCTTTTATAAATTTACTTTCAAATTTTCTCGCCGTTTAGTATAACGTGTCACCCGGTTACACATATTTTTCGATATTCTATCTTGAAAACTTGTAATAGCATTAATCAAACAAGTACCTTTAATGGAATAATTCAGTGCGCTCTATTACTTTCATCTTAAAAAAATCAAAATTTTCAATAATAAACATCTTAAATGAGTTAGAATATAAATTAATAAACAAGTACTTACAACAAATTGACTCAGTGTGCTCCAGTATTTTTATCTTAAATAAATTAAAATATTGATTATTAAATAAGCGCTTACAACAAAATGATTCAGTCCACTCTAGTACTTTCATCTTAAATAAATTAAAATATCAACGAATACACAATTACCTTTAGCAAAATAATCTAGTGTGCCCAAGTTTTCTTAATTCAAATTTATTATGACATTTGTTAATATCGAAGCGCTTGTAACAAAATGAATTAAAATAACTATAAAAAACAAACACCTTATAATGTTGATTTATGTAAGGCACTTTTATCTCAATAATGTAGTGTGCTCTTGTCGTTTAATTAGAAATAAGTACTAATACAGGTTAATAAACAGGTGCCTTGACTAATTGATAATTAATAACTGATGGTATGTTTCTAATTACCCAGCAAAAGTGATCGAATAATGCTGTGCGTTTTACTTTTTATTCATTATTAAATTTAATGTTAATTGTGATTTATAACTTCGGTATCAAACAAGTGTTTACACTACATAATACCCTACCCTCCCTCCTCGTTTTTTCTTTTTACATTTTGAAATTTTATTTATAATTCGAAAAGTGCCCTGAACTTTGTAATGCAGTGCACTAAAATCCTTTAATTTGTATAGAAACATCTTTATACAAATATCGTAGTATACTGTCAAAATAACGCTGCATATCTGATTATTTTTGTTGGCAATAATTGCAAAAAATAATTAATAAAAAAAATTGTAATTAAAGAATTTTTGTGCACTGCATTACGTAGTTCTAGGCGCTTTTTTAATTATAAATAATTGTAATAACCAAAAAAAAAGTCTTAGGCACAGGACAATGTGTGGTTTAAAACACTTGTTTAGCATCGGAGTTATAAATAATAATCAAGATTAAAGTTAATAACCAGTAGGAAGTTAAATGCACAGCATTTCTCGATAATTTTTTATGGATAGTTAAAAAACATACTATTAGTTGAAAATTTTTAATTAATCTAAGCACCTACATATTAAGCTGCATTATTGCTTATTTCTAACAAAATTACATTAGTACACTACATTATTAGGATGAAAGTAATTTCGTATTAATTAGCATTATTGTTATTTATTAATATCTTAAAGTTAAACAATAATCCGTTAATTATACTTATTTATTTATTTATTGATTATTTGTAATATTTCTTACTGACGAAAAAAATCAAATGCTTCGTGATATGTGGTCAAAAGCATTTGATTATTCATAAACATTACTAACTCTTTAAAACATAAAAACGTAAATGAATTACGGTATTTAAGTGAGTATTTATCTATACAACATTAGCATTATTATTTATAACTAACATAAAGACTCCGACGCTTAACAGGCTTAAAGTACAAATTAACATTTAATTTATTAAACATAGTAAGACTAAAACGAACTGGGTCATTGTATTATAAGTGCTTGTTTATCAATTGACGTTTTAGTTTGCTGAAGATGAAAAGACTAGAGCGTATTAGGTCATTGCATTATAATCGCTCGTTTATTAACATTTTAGTTTTTTTAAGATGAAAGTTCTAGAGCGCACTGGATTACTTCGTCGAAGGTACTTCTTATTGCTTGTTAGTGCAAGCTCACTGTGTTATTTAGTTAGAGGCGCTTGTTTGAAATTATTAATGTTAACTGGAATGTTGTGAGTATTGTTAGTTCTTAACTGGCATAATGAACTTATCCTTTTTTTCCTTCAGAGCTATCGATTCATAGAACGTAAATAAAAATTATTACTTTTAAAGTTAATTATCAATACAATTTTTTTAAACATCAATATATTTAAATAAACATTTTAAAACGGTAACTATAAAATAAAAAAAAAAGACTGTAGATGCAAATCAAAGGTATGGCTAGCAAGAACGAAAATTATTCAATTCGATCTGCTATGGAGTATTATCCCATCAGAGGTATAGGGGTAAATGACCCAATTACTGTTCATTAGCCAATTATTGCGCATTTCAATACTGTTCTGTCGGAGCACGTTTTCTTCGCTATCGCTCGTTACCGCTACGCATCATCTATGCTTTTCTTTTTCTCTCTCTCTCTTTCCTATTTCCCTCTCGTTCCGTCTCTCTGCTACTATATCTCTCTCTACTATTCTTCCCATACTTTCTCTTTTCACGCACGACACTGTGCCTCTCTTGCAGTATCATCGTCTGTCTTTTTTTTTCATGGTCCTAAGCGTCGGTCGGGACTAATGACGAGCGGTGGCTAATTGGGCGTCGCAACACCTATAAGGAGACTGGCAAGCGCGTCCGCGCGCGCTCGACACAGTTCAGTAGCTGATCTTGGAGAGTACACACGTTCGAGTGGTCTTTCCTTTGCCTCTGAGTTTCTCGCTTGTCTTGTCGCTTTGTCTCCGGTGCACCGGATATACTAACGTGCTTGTCGCGTTCTTTACAATTGACCTTCTGTCAATTTTACGCGTGCTTCTTGCACCATCGAGCTGTGCTCGAACTTCGCCGGGTCGCCCCACCAACTCACACATATACACATTCACACATTAAACTCTGTAATCGACTATCGCACTTCATCCGGGTTGTCCTTTTTTTCGAATAAATGGTTTTTTTCCTTTTGGTTTTTTTTCCCTGAAATAATAGTTTGTTTTCATTCACCCTAATAATCCTTCATGTCAATATCGATTTAAATTCAGTTCAGAATCAGTTCATTTTACGTGTTATTTGTTCAAATGTCTTGAAGCTTGTTGCCTTTAAAAAAAAATTAATTTGAACACGAAAATTAAAAAATACGTGGCTGTGCCAAATAGGCAACGTCGCGACAAAAACATCGGTGCCTCCTGTGAGGTTTTTCACCTCATCGCTTTCTTCATCATCTCAATAAATCCATATATCTCAAGGCGCGCCGTCGTCCACGAGCGCGCACCAACAAGAGTGTTGATTTCTCGGAATACAACTTCTGTCTACTACCACAACGCCGACCGCCACTCATCGTTCCCGCTGAAGGAAGTCTCCCGCCCGAGGCCGCCAACAACAGCGCATCTTCGACGTCATCGAAAAGCTAAGTTTTCTGTTTTTAGTGTTCCACAATTTAGTTTGTTGAAATAACGACATTTTATATTATAACCAATTACATTATCGCCCTCTTCAGATTGTCAGGGACTTAATTTTAATTTGTTTATCCTAATTTCCGTATTATTTTCATACTTTAACATTCGTGCATTTTCTCCTAACGTTTCACGAAAATCGAGAACTCAGCGCGTGTGCTGGTGTTTCCTCGATCAGTCGGTGAAATCCGAAGAATTGTTTTCATAACAAACCCAACAACTTGCACAACTCGTGTTATATCCGAACGAGACTAATACGTAGCTCATACGTTAGTGAAATTTCTTGACTGCCGCGTAGTTTCGCGCGAATCGTAATTCATTGAGTCTTTTATTTTATCTTCAAATTTGTGTTTTTTCTTTAGTTTTGTCCATAATTCGTTTTTATGGTTCCGAAATGGCGGGTAAAGCAACGCGTATCAATTACACCCTTACAAAAGGGGAAGCCTTTAAAGACCAACTGTTGAATTTCGAGGCTGTATTGACAGAGAAGAAGTATAGTGCGAGTCAGGCAGACGTACGTTTAAAGCTGTTAGAAAAAATATTCACTGATTATGAGCGTTACAACGATGAGTTACGACAGCTCGATGCAGGGCATGCCAGGTTAGGCGATTTCTTTGACTTACAAGACCGATACATATTGATAGCTGACAAGGTCAACAGATTACAAGCGCGCCCTACTAGATCATCGAGAGTAGGTTTAAACGAGACATCTTTTCTCGAAAAACAAAAGCAATTGAAGTTGCCGGTAGCAAAGCTGCCTACCTTCGATGGTAGTTATGAAAAGGGGTTTTCCTTTAGTAATTATTTCAAGGTTATGATAAATGAGCGTCAAGATATAGACGACCTAGTTAAATTTACACACTTAAAGAACGCCATGGAGGGAGAGGCAGCAGCGAAATTGAGCATTTTTAGTGCTAGCGCCGAGAATTACAAACTAGCTTGGGAATTATTAGTTGAGTCGTACGAAAGGCCGCGCGTTTTAGCATCTCGACACATACAAGCTATTTTGCGTATAAAACCCATAGAATGGGCTTCTTATTTTTCTCTGAATGCTTTACACGATGAAGTCCGACAACATTTGAGCATGCTAAAATCGATTAAGGTAACGCCTGAGGATACTACGCTCATAGAGATCCTGTACGACAAGCTGCCCACAGGCACGCGTAGAGGGTGGGATAAAATTTTGAAACTCGACACGCTTCCTACATTAGACGAATTTTTTAAATTTCTTCGCGAAAATGCTCATTTGTTGTATTCATTCGTAAAGAATTCTTATCAAAAACCGAGTACGAATAAAAAACGTCAATCAGAGAAGATTACAACACCATCTAAATTTATACGCAATGAAACAGGGACACGCACGTTCGCGACGGGTTTAAATTCGGCTTGTTTGAAATGTAAGGCTAATCATCCTCTTTACGCTTGCTTGGAATTTAAAAAACTTAAAGTGCAACAACGCTGAGATTTTGTTCGCGAAAATAAACTCTGCTGTAATTGCTTGCGCTCTCACCTAAAGTCATGCGAAAGCAAACACCGATGCAAAAATTGCAACAAAATGCATCATACAATTTTGCACGCTGATAAAAAATCCGAGTCGTCAAACATTCACTCGAAATCCGAATCCAACAACTTTCCGAACAACAATAACAAACAGTCATGACTAGGTCATAGATCGCTCAATACTTACGCTACCACACCAAAATCACAAATACTCACCACAGCTATCGTTCGCGTTCAAGATAAGGACGGTAGGTACATCGCAGCTCGGGCATTGTTAGATTCTTGTTCTACTACGCATTTAATTACGGAAAACCTTGCAAATTCATTAAAAATTGCTAAACAAATTTGTTCGATTCCTATAGGTGGTATAAACGATACATGTACATTGTCTCGACATTGTATTAATCTAACTTTTAAATCACATCACAACGAATTTGAGAAAAAATTGAATTTTCTAACAGTGCCCAAAATAGCTGACTTCGTGCCTGACGAAACGTTTCCGCGAGAGTTAACAAACATTCCGAAGAATATTCAATTAGCGGACCCCCAATTTCACGTTCCTCGCCCGGTAGAGTTATTAATCGGCTCGGGTGCCACGCTTTCAATGTTATCTATAGGGCAAATTGACATTTTGAAAAAGGGGTGCGATTTGATTTTGCAGAAGACTCGTTTGGGATGGGTGATAGCAGGTGGAATGGAGGATTTTAATCCAAAGCGAGTGCGTAACTGTAGTCTTGTCGAGCTTGGCTCGCTCATTGAAAGATTTTGGAAATTAGAAGACCTCAGCACCAAGTATAGTACTTTGTCGGACGCTGATCTCTGCGAGCGTCATTTTTTACAAAACACGACTCGTAGTTCGAGCGGCCAATATGTAGTTAGATTACCGTTTCGCGATGCAAATGTATTTTTAGGCAGCTCGAAGTCGCAGGCTCTTCGTCGTTTTCACTCATTGCAAAGACAATTGAATTGCGATTCGCACCTTAAGCTCGAATATAATAAAAACATGCAGGAGTATATCGATCTCGGTCACATGTCACGCGTGAGCGACGAGCAAGAAGAAGGCTACTATATGCCGCATCATCCTGTAATCAAGGCTTCAAGTAATACAACAAAGGTGCGCGTGTCTTTGATGCCTCCGCAAAGACAAACAACAACCAGTCCCTAAACGACAACTTGCTCATCGGTCCCACGATACAGCCGACACTTTTCGAACACTTAGTCGGTTTTCGATCGCACGCATGTGTTCTAACGGCGGACATCAGTAGAATGTATAGACAAGTTCTCATGCACCCCGACGACCGTAAGTTCCAGCGCATACTTTGGTACGAGGGAGACAAAATCCGAACGTACGAATTAAACACAGTCACTTCCAGTGTCTCGGCTGCCCCCTTCTTAGCTATACGCGCGCTGCATTAGCTGGCAGAGGACGAGAGAAAGAAATTTCCGTTAGCATGCGATATCTTGTTACGACATTTCTACGTTGACGATCTCTTGGTAGGCGCAAACACACTACAAAAAATATTACAGATCCGAGATCAAATGATTGAGCTTTTAGACTTGGGCGGGTTTGTTATTCGCAAATGGGCGTCTAATCACAAACACGCTCTTGAAAATTTAGACGAGAAAATTTTCGAATCCGAATGCGCTACCGAAACAAACTCGGTCTTAAAACCGTTAGGCGTTATTTGGGAGTCGATAGGAGATAAACTAACATACAAAACTCAACCACTCGCAACTTTAAACTCTTGCAGTAAGCGACGAATTTTATCGGAAATAGCGCGAGTTTTTGACCCTCTCGGTTTACTAGGGCCGGTCATTTTGCTTGCGAAGATTTTGATGCAGGATTGCTGGAAAGCAAAGGTTGGTTGGGACGAATCGGTGCCTCAGGATATACATTCTCGGTGGGTTTTATTTACAAAACAACTTCCTTCGATCAATAATCTTTCTATAGACAGACGCATTGTATTAGATAACTCGATTACAATAGACATCCACGTATTCTGCAACGCTAGCCAGAACAGCTACGGAGCCTACATTTACGTTCGTTCAACCGACGCGTCGGGTAAAACATGCGTTAGACTGTTATGTGCAAAACCGAGAGTCGTACCAGTAAAAACCACAGCCACTACTCCGAAACTTGAACTTTGCGCCGCATTAACGCTGGCGAGACTCTATAAACAGATTTATCCGATACTAGCCTTAGAGATTTGTCGTTCTGTTTACTGGTCCGACTCTACGATTGTACTGCACTGGTTAAAAAAATCGCCATCTTTATTAAAAACTTTCGAAGCGAACAGAGTCGCGGAGATTCAGTCAGTGGGGGAAGCGATAGAGTGGAGACACGTGCGTTCTGAGAGTGAGCCGGCCGATGCTTTATCCCGCGGCCAGCTTCCGTGTGATTTTTTGAAAAATCAAATTTGGTTCGAGGGTCCTGCGTGGTTGTCCCAGCCCGAGGCGGCTTGGCCGACGGGCATCGAGATTCCTCCGACCGATTTGCCCAGATTGAAAAAGGCGACTTGTCTCATAAGTAGGGCTGCTCGCGATATTTTTTTTTGCACGTCTTCTTACAAACTTTTAATCAGAGCAATAGCTCGAATTTTGCGGATGTTTAGATATAAAAATTCTGTCGAGCCAATAAGCGTGCAAGAGAGAATTGAAGCCGAGACGAAGATTCTGCTACTCGTACAGCGAGATAGATTTTCGGTCGAGCTGCGCCGTTTATACACGCCTCGGATGGCGGAGCCTGATACCGTCACCGTCCCTTATCGCAAAACTACTCGTTTCGACGAGTTAAATCCTTTTATTGACGATCAAGGGCTCATTAAAGTAGGAGGTAGATTAAAAAATTCTGATTTATCCTTCGGCGAAAAACACCCAATGGTCTTGCCGACCAATCATCACGTTACCGATCTCATAATTAGAAAGGTGCATCATAAGACGTATCATGCGGGCATACAGACGACACTGCATACCATCCTTAATAAGTTTTGGATCATAAACGGAAAAGACCAAGTCAGACGTATAGTTAGGCGTTGCGTGGATTGCATTCGGGAGCGCCCGCGATTCTTGCATGGTCAGATGGCTGATTTGCCATCGTGTCGAGTAAATGAAACGCCAGCATTTTTTCACGTCGGCATAGATTACTTCGGGCCATTTTTTACAAAAGAAAAAAAAGAGCGCAATCGCAACAGGGTCAAAACATACGGCTGCATTTTTGTTAGCATGGCTACAAAGGCCGTACATTTAGAAATTGTAAGCGATCTGACCACGGCGGGATTCTTGGGCGCGTTTAGTCGTTTCATGTCTAGACGAGGCACCCTGGCGCACGTGTATTCAGACAACGGTACGAATTATGTCGGCGCAAACAGCCACTTGCGCGAGCTTTACGCTTTATTGAACTCCGAAAAACACAGAGAGATGGTACATGCGTTTAAGGCCGATAGAGAAATTGTCTGGCATTTCAACCCGCCCCTTTCACCACATTTTGGCAGGCTACAGGAAGTGGCGGTCAAGTCCTTCAAGCACCATTTCAAACGTGTGCTAAAAGATCAATTACTTACCTACGAGCAAATAACTACCTTAGTGAGTGAAATCGAGGCAATTTTGAATTCGCGCCCCCTCTGTTCTCTCTCCGCGGATCCAAATGATCCTTTAACTATAAGTGCTGGACATATTTTAATAGGGAGACCCTTTACCGTACTGCCTGATCATGACCTTACTTTAATTCCAGATAATCGACTAACCACTTGGCGCTTTATCACCAAGGCCAGACAATCTTTTTGGCAAAGATGGCATAAGGAATATTTGAGCGAACTTCAGAAGCGTCAGAAGTGGCAAGGTTCAAATGGCAAGATCGAAATTGGATCAGTAGTCATTTTAATGGACCCGAATCTTCCTTGCTCACGCTGGCCTCTGGGTGTGGTCATCGAGACATTTCCTGGGAACGATGATGTGGCTCGCGTGGTCTCAGTCAAGACCGCAAACGGAATATTCAAAAGAAACATCACGAGATTATGTCCACTTCCAAAAGAATGATTTGAATCATAAATATAAATATACCTATGTAAAAATTTACTATGTACACACATGCAGACACAAACACTTATTGCCTCCGCAATGCCGGGGGGAGTATGTTCCGTCGGAGCACGTTTTCTTCGCTATCGCTCGTTACTGCTACGCATCATCTATGCTTTTCTTTTTTTCTCTCTCTCTCTGTTTCCTATTTTCCTCTCGTTCCGTCTCTCTGCTACTATATCTCTCTCTACTATTCTTCCTATACTTTCTCTTTTCACGCACGACACTGTGCCTCTCTTGCAGTATCATCGTCTGTCTTTTTTTTTCATGGTCCTAAGCGTCGGTCGGGCCTAATGACGAGCGGTGGCTAATTGGGCGTCGCAACACCTATAAGGAGACTGGCAAGCGCGTCCGCGCGCGCTCGACACAGTTCAGTAGCTGATCTTGGAGAGTACACACGTTCGAGTGGTCTTTCCTTTGCCTCTGAGTTTCTCGCTTGTCTTGTCGCTTTGTCTCCGGTGCACCGGATATACTAACGTGCTTGTCGCGTTCTTTGCAATTGACCTTCTGTCAATTTTACGCGTGCTTCTTGCACCATCGAGCTGTGCTCGAACTTCGCCGGGTCGCCCCACCAACTCACACATTTACACATTCACACGTTAAGCTCTGTAATCGACTATCGCACTTCATCCGGGTTGTCCTTTTTTTCGAATAAATGGTTTTTTTCCTTTTGGTTTTTTTTCCCTGAAATAATAGTTTGTTTTCATTCACCCTAATAATCCTTCATGTCAATATCGATTTAAATTCAGTTCAGAATCAGTTCATTTTACGTGTTATTTGTTCAAATGTCTTGAAGCTTGTTGCCTTTGAAAAAAAATTAATTTGAACACGAAAATTAAAAAATACGTGGCTGTGCCAAATAGGCAACGTCGCGATAAAAACAAATACAATTTCAAGATTAAACATTCATCCTAATACTTAAATTTATTAAAAATATATTTTAAAAGTTGTATGAGGATTCACGCTTTTAATCTACAAGAAATTTTGGTAATTTTTATTTGTTTATAAATATAAAACAGTTATGTAATATCGTTGGTATAATAAAAAAAAATTTTCAATCGAAACAAATGAGAATCAAGCCAACTGGTGGATTCAGAAAACCGGTTTGCATAATAAAATAACATTAAATTATTCATCAATTCCAATGGCTCCATCCATGCCTGATAACAAAACTTTGTTCGAAAAATACGCACCAACTTGAAACTCCAAGTTAACGTTGCTAATAAAGCAGCAATAAAGCAACAAAAAGCTCCGGCAAAGTAAATCTTTCCGTGCAAAACCAAGGTCAAAACAAAACACTTGTTTTTAAAACGTGTTATCTGTTCCAAACGTTAGTGGAAACATAATTTTAGCTAGAACGTGCGCAAAATCTGACTGCAAAGTAAAGTTTGGAAAAAAGAAGTGCTCCGTTTACTGGTCTACTGGTCATCAAATGGTATACATATCTTAGCAACAACTTATACAAGTTTAACGACAAAATTGTAAAGTCCATGAAAAACTCAAATTGCAATCTGCAAGTTAATTTAGCCTACTTGGATATGTATTTATGGCATAAGAGACTTGGGCATTTGAACAGTAAGTATTTAAATAAACTAAAACTTAGTGCTGCAGAAAGCATAAACTTCAACACCAAAGACAAACTTGAATGGTGTGATTCGTATATACAAGGATAAACAGTGCGTGATTCATTCCCTTCGAGTGATGGCCACGTCAGCAGAAAATTCGAACTTGTACACAGTGATGTCTGCGCAATACTGAATACTTCTCATGATGTCTTCAAGCACTTTTTTACGTTTGTTAATGAGTACTTGAAACAGTTGTTTGTTACTTAAAAAAAAAAAAACCTGATGTACCCATGTCCTTAGCTCAATTTGTTAGTTTTGTTGAGAATCAATCTGACTATGAAATCAACCCCTTAAGAACTGATAACCGCCGTGAGTTAGTAAACGAACACGTAAGCGAATTGTTGAGTGCCAATTGTATACAAGGTCAAACCAGTGTACCTTCTCAACAAAATAGTGTGTCCGAACGTATTATCAGGATGTTGCTTAAAAAACCAAAAACTATGTTGCTGTGTGCAATAATAAGAATTTTTTGGGTGGACGCCATCTCAAGTTACTGCATACATCTGTAACCGCTCTCCTCACTTTAGATTGAATGGCCTCATGCCTTATCAACTGTGGCATGGGCACTCGCCGGATCCTTCGCACATGAGAGTTTTTGGCTGTACTACTTACGCGTTGATCCTGGATATATTCAGAAGTAAAATGAAGCCTAAAACGAGGAAATACATTTTTCTTGGATTTAGTCCTAATCAAAAAGGCTATAGACTTAAGGAGGTTCGGGAGTATCATTCAAAGGGATGAGGAAGGGGGAGTCCCCTCTGTCCACGCAGCTTGGCCCCCTTTACCGCGCACCCTCTCTTGCACCCCACAAACTCAATATTTTCCTTACGTTTAACGTTTGCATTGTTTAAAATTTGGATGTCACTCATGCAACTATATCAAAAACCACTCCAACCAGTACAGTTAACCACCTTTATCTTCTAAACAAGAAAAACAAATGGATTTTGGTCAGTATGAACTACGACTCTTCACCTCTGCTAAACCAAACATTAACACATCCGAGATTGAATCAACCTCAACACCCTTAAGAACAATAAAGGAGCCACAATATCTAGAAGATTTTAAACTTTACTCTGCAGCTTTGGGTAATCTTAATATTTTAACTTATGGAGAGGTCATCAATGGCTTGGAGGCAGAACAATGGAAATGTGCAACGAGAGAAGAAATTGCTTCAATTTACAAGAATAAAGTCTGGAATATATCTAACTTACTATCAAGAAATAAATCACTTAGCGTCAAGTGGATATTTAAGAAGAAAATAGGAAAATCTGGCAAACCAGTCTACAAAGCTAAATTGGTCACACAAGATTATGCCCAAATCTAAGGTATAGATTATGATGTAACATATTCTTCAGTTGTTTAAATTCTTTTCGCCTCATGTTAGTGGATTCATTGAAATCGAAAATTCTTGTTTATCATGTGAACAGTAAATCAGCATTCTTGCATGTGATAATTAAAGAAGAGATTTATATCAGACAACCAATGGATTTCCAAGATCCCGATTGTCCTGATTAGTTCTGTAAGTTAAATAAGGCTCTGTGTGCCTTGGAACAGGAGAGCATGGTCTAGAACCAAAGGCTCCACAATGTGTTTCAGACCATGAACCTTACCAGATCTAAAAAACCATATCTGCCTGTATTATTTCATCTATATGCCATATTTATCATTGTAAGAGCCTTCATTATTAATATATTGATTTTTAAAAAGAGTAGCTGCTGTCTTTTAAGAGAATTAAAATCAAAATATTTTTTCTAGTTAAGGTTTTAGGCCCTGTAAACAAGTTTTTAGGGGTAACCATATCAATCGATCCCTCCAACGAAACTGTTCAGCAGGATCAGCTAGATTATATAACGGACGTTATATTCTATTTGAATATGCATGGTTTGAATCCTGTTGCAACCCCCGTACCTTCAAAATTTAATCAAGACTCTCGAGTTCAGTCCAATGTCACCGATGTCAAGAAGCATAGTATCAATAATTCTTGGCTATACCATATAAAACTGCCATTGGATGTCTTCTGCACATAAGCTGCTGTACCAGTCTTGATTTGTCTTATGAGTAGATTTAATGATTCTGTTACTCAAGAACATTGGAATATAGTCAAGCACATCCTAACATATCCCTGAGGTTCGTGCAACCTAGAGTTAATATACACAGGTAATGACACAACTCGGCTTGAAGCTTACTGCGATATTAGCTGGGCACTAAGTTTACACGACCGCAGATTTGTTACTAGCTCTATATTCCTTATATATAGTGGACCTGTTAGTTGGAGTATGAAGACCAAAACCATTATTTCTCTTTCAAGTATAAAGGCTTAGTACCACTCCTTGACAGCAGCAACCCAAGGAACTTTGTGGCTGCGAAGGCTTATGTAAGAACTTCAAAAGGGGGATGGAGGCCCCACAGTTATTCATTGTGATAATAAGAAAGCGATCTACCCAGTGGAAAATGCTAATTACAGCCTGTGTATAAAGCATGTAGATACTCATCACCAATTTTTCCAGGATTTGATCAGCAAAAAAGGTATGAAAGTGGAATCTGTCTTGTCGATTAACAGGTTAGCTGACAGTTTTATTAAAAGTGTTGATGAAGTGGTGTTGAAGAAAATCAATGTAAGAATGGGACTCAAAAGACTCTTCTTTTTTACTACTTCTGTTTACTATTTTTTAAATTCCTGTTGTTTGATCACAGTTCAAAAAAAAATTTCTTGTCTTAATGAAAAAATTGATACCTGTTGTATTTAATTTTTTTAATGCGTATGGAAATTCTATTATTTAAATTATTTATGAAGGGATCGTATTGTAATTTATGTTGTATCAAATAAATATATTTAAATATGTATGAGGATCACAAGAGTAGTGGTAGTGGCTTTGCATCAAGTTAAGGTACCTACTACTTTTATGCTTGGGCAGCTACATCAGCTACATTCTTTGCATAGTTAATCTGTAGTCGTCTGTCGTCTAGTTAAGACGTAAACTGCTTATGTGTCTGTGTTGGTAGATGTACCACACATGCTCGCTCTTTACATAACAGTCAATATGTAGCTATAAAACTGCGTACTTCTACTCATACTGTTTAAAAAAAATTTTTTTTTTTTCATTTATTTACATCAGTTAAAAGTTACAGCTTTTCAACTTTAAGTTTTCTTTATATCTGCACTACGTGACCCGCTGAAAGCTCTACTGTACTTTTTCTAACATCACTTTTTAATAATCAACTTATTAACAATACTCTCAGTTTTTTACACTTTCACAGTTATTGTATTGATTAATAATAAAGTAACTGCCAAGCTGCAAAAAGTTGTAATCATTATTATTGAAATAACATTTCATA